AAAATATTTTTATTTTTAAATGGAAATATGCTGTGCAGTTATCTTTTACATATAAAGAGAATTACCTATTTGTTGAGAAGTTGGAAAGAATATTTGTAAGTGTTGGTGCTTAACTTTGCTGTTTTAAGTCCTGTCTGTGATACTTTTGGAGGCAAGTGTATAAACAGTGCTTTTGTGTCCAAAACATGACATGAAAGCATTTTGTGGGTTTTCTGAACAACATAAATGAGTGAGACTAGCCTTCAAAATAGCAATGCTATGTTCTTAGTTTTTATTTTATCATAGGCTGTGACTTTCTTCATTTGCATTAGTTTATTTTTAAAAGCTATTACAGAGCAAATGACCAAAGCTTTTTGAAAATTCATTGAATATTTCTTTACAGTTACTGCATTTTGGGTAATGGTTTATAAGGTGCTTGCTATTTATCTGGCTGAATGAAAGCCATTGTGTCTTTATCAACAATAATGAGTCTGCCCAACACAATTTATGAGTTGTGTTTCTTAATTTGAGTTGGATGACTGGTAAGCATTGGAGGCGGCAAATAGTTATGAACAAAAGAAAATAACTGTCACATTAGGGGAAAAAAGAGAACAAAAAGCATTTTCTGATAGAACATTCCGCTGTTTTATTTTTCAGTTACATTTACTAGTAATCTTTCACATAGAAAGCTGTTAGAGAAATATATTAGAAACATTCCAAAAACATTCATTGCACATTATTTGTCTGTAGTTCATCATTTAATCTGATCTATCCCATTGTCTATGTGCAGACTTTGCTCCCTAGCCCAACAGCTGGAATATTAAACCATAATTTCTTGCTCCACATGAATTGTTTTGAAAGCACGGTGGGGTTTATAGGAACCTATTGGAGCAATCAAAATCCTAAAGTAAATACTTTTAACCAAAGCCCTATTCTGCCTTAGATTTGCCTTGTAATACATATCCCCTTTGCCCAACATTTTTCATTAGTAGAGTAAACAAACATATTAATCATAGCATAGAGTTCAAGTATTAGCTTGTCTTCAGCCACTTAAGATACATTTTTTTTTAAATATCTAAGATGTTCTTTGATTTCTGTGTGCAGTACAACTACGGGCAAAACACAGAGAAAACCAAAGCTTTACAATATTCTTTTGACCATGATTTTTATGTCTGTTAAATTTCAGCATTACTTTCCCATAGATAAATGTCATCTTATGACAATTTTCACTGTAGACATTTTTTGAAATTCTTGTTCTATTGAAAAAGATGGAAAATAAAAAAAAAAATACTTATTCCTATTAGATGAATGCTCTTCAAAACTGAAGAGGGAAGTACCTCACATACACAAATGCCAGAAGGCATGAGACACAACATGAACATGAGACATTAGAGATTATGGAATTTGTGACACAAATTGTTCAAATACTCTACTTGATAAACCTGCCAGCCCATCTGCCTTAAATGTTTGTTCCAAAGAGAGAACCATTGAACATAATTTTGGTTGTACACATGTCCCGTGCTTTCAGTGTTTTTGTTTGAGTTGGCAGAGAGGAATTTTGATTTAGCTTCTTTGGATGTGGTCTCTTTTGTGCCACAGTAGCAGTTTGAAGCATAATCCCACAATCTATATTCCTGTAAGAGATTGTCCCATTTAAAATATCTATCTGTCCCAGGTTCCCACTTAAAATAACATTCTAACTCTGGATTATACAAATGGTAGACAGAAAGAGAAGAGTCCCACAAGTAGTACAGCTTTGAGCTCTCATCCCATAGCCATGTAGATCCCTGAAGTTCCAAAGTCTCTCTATTGTTTTGAGATGACAAACCAGAGCAATGAGTATCAGCTTTACTTTTTGACTTCTTATGATAAGAACCACCTTTCAATTTTTTTTCTTTCTTCCCACAAACTTTTTTAGTGATTTTTTCCTGGACTCTTTCACTACCCCGTTCTTCAGATGAATCTGATGAGTAATTACCAACTAATTCATTGAGATTGGACCTACTAACTGAACTCTCTTTCAGCTCTTGTAACTGTAACTTGGCAGCAGTCAAAACAAGATTGGCAGATGCCCACCAATCTGGAATCTTCAGCTCATTCGTTAAAGATGTAACTTCTCTACTATAATCCTTATTATTACCAGCAATCCAATGGGTGTAGTTTTCTTCCAACTCTTCAAGAGAACGAAGTCCTACATTCACATTCCGCTTTGACATACACAAGACTTCATTCAGCTGAGCAGAAGCTTGCTGAATAGCTTCATCCTTTCGACTATCACACTCTATTGCTTTGGGCCCATGTTGGCTGACAGTCTTAAGACAATATCCTTCAACTACAACATTTTGAGTGCTTTCAGAAGAAGACTTAGGAATTTCCCTGCCTGGGTTTCCTTCTTTCAAGTTTGACAGGGACTTGGTTTCAGCAGACTCAGCATTGATTTCAATAAGATTTTGTACTTCAGTTTTCATCTCCACCTTCTCCACATTGGTACTGCTATCAGTTTTCTGAACTTCTGGGCCAACACCATCAGGAGAATGTGGTTCATTTACCTCCCCATTATTTTCTGAAGGGTTATCTAGTACACTGAGAGAGGGTCCAAAAACAATGTCTAAAAATTGACCATCTTTTTTGATGAGGCTTAAGTCTGAAGGCAAAGCATAGACTGTTGCGTCATTTATTTCAGATAAAATTTTCCTGAATGCTTCAACTTCTTCTCCCTTTGAAGCAAGAGTTATAACACAGCCTAAAACAAACCGAAAAACAAATTTGTTGTCAGATAAAAGATTTTTGATAATAAGATTAAAAATATATGAATAAAGTACTGTAAAGAAAGTTACCATAAGAACCAAATCGGCCTGCCCGGCCCATCCTGTGAAGATAGGTAGCAGAATCATATGGGATGTCTAAATTAATCACTAAGTCAACACCTCTGAAATCAACCCCTCTTGACATAACATCAGTGGTCAAAAGGACCCTGGACTGAAATTCCTGAAAATTGAAAATGGAGAAATTTATACATGTTGTAAAATATTGCTAACAAAATAAATTAAATTAGATTAGATTTGAAAAGGTGGTACTAACCTTGAAGGATGTTAGGGTGGCAGTTCGGTGAGATTGTTCATCCTGGCCTCTAACACTAATTGCTGGCCAACCATTAGACACAAGTTGATGACAAATGGTCTCTGCCCTACAAAGGAGATCATATTTGAGTTCGTCAAAAATTACACACAAACATGAATCAATTTATGATTAATTTACAAATCTTAATCTTGTATAAAATATTATCTTACCTGGTTTGGTAATTAGAAAATATTATACATTGGGTGAAAGAATGACCAGACAATATTTCCAGAATTTCTTCTAGTTTAAACTTTAATTTTCTGACAATTTGGCTGTGGTTAGGTACTTCTTTGAAGAATTGTGTTACACCCAACAAAACCTAAAATTGGGAATTAACTGTTCATTAACAAAATCACACTTACAGATTATTTGATTTTATGGAAGTAGATGTGATGGTAAAAGTTTAAGTAAGCATACTGTTTGGGACGATTTCTGCTGGTCAAAATTGCCAGGCTGTAGGCGGCTTGCTCTCTCAGGTGTGACCCAAAATGGCTCCTTCATGTGCTTTACTACATACTCTTTAACTGGTTGTAGGAATGTTGCACTGCACAAAATTGTCTGTTTACTTGCAGGCAGCAATTTAGATATAGACCTTCAAATAACAATAAATCATTGATGCATTTAGGAAACACAAAAAACAAAACACATTCTTTTTGTCTTGAAAACTTACTTGACTTGAGAAAAAATTGACTTTTCCATAAGCTTATCTGCCTCATCCAAGACAAATAGTTTTACATGGCAAAGAGACATGTCTCCACTTTCGATTAGACTATTCAAACGTCCGGGTGTACCAATTGCTACTTGGCATCCCAATAAATTTTTTTTGTCTTCCTTCACAGATGTACCACCAATAAATACTTCTGTTCTCACTATCAGTAGAAGCAAAAAAGAAAAAAAAATGAATTTTAAAACTTTTACAGCAGTAATTTATTTAGAGAATTGACTATCTAGAACTTAGCACGCACCTGCTATGTCAGCACTGACAATAGAGATAAAATGTTTTGTTTGAAGAGCTATTTCTCGGGTAGGAGCTACAGCAATAACTTGCAGTCTTTTGCTTTTTAAATTCACCGTTTCTAGTACAGCTAAAGTTATAACTAATGTCTTTCCAGTACCAGCTTTGGACTGCACAATGAGATCTGAAATTTGACAAGTATCAAGAATCAATATATGTGCTGGACAATATTAAATAAAAAGTGTACAGTGGTTGGAAAACACATACCTAAGCCAAGGCGCAGAAGTGGTATTGACCGCAACTGAATAGGAGAGGGTCGATAAAAATTAGCAGCCGTTAACCCGCGTAAAATGAACTCAGGTAATAACAGATTCTTGAATTCGACATCGTCAGTAGTTAAGATGTCTTGAGTTCGTAATATATCAATTTTATCTAAATCATGAGCTAATTTCAATGATTTTCTCCTGTTTTCTGTTAACGGTATTTCTGAACTGGGGGGTGAGCTTTCCTTGGGAGTTTCTGTTCTTACCATGGTTGGATTTAAGTGACTATGACTAAATAATATAAAAGGAAAGAAATCGATTATAATTTGTGAATCAAAGGAATACGACAAGAATCATAATTGAAAATCTACAGTATACTACCCTAACCTCTGAAGTCATATGGTTCAACAGTGAGCCTACACAACTGCAACTGTAACGAAAATTCTTCCTCTTCAGTCTTTATGGAATGGATGGAAAATACAATGGGGCTTCTTTGAATGGAGGAAGAGATATGACAGTAAGTAAATCTACGTAAATCTAGAGAAACGTCCAAATTACGAACAACATCAAAGCAATGTAAATAACCCACGATGTGTTGAAATATGAACCTGAATATGAAGCAGAAAGGATAATAACAAAAGGCCTGGGGCTGGGTTTTAATGAAAAGAATCCTTCTCTATCTATTGAAAAGAACAGAGCAGTGATCTATACGAGATCTCAATTTATTTATTTTTCATGGTAAGCAGTTGTCAGCGGGCCAATGTATTTATTTTGTAATGAATGTTAGCTTTGAACAAAGCCCATGGACATCATAACCTCTTCTGTGTCTCTTCTGTTTTAGATTTTAAGAATTTTCTGCCCTGTCAGTATCATTATGTAGGAATGACACTTCTTTCCTTCTAACGAACTATACGATATGTAACTATTGAAGTGGATGTCGGTGTCACATTTTTTCTACCAACATTTGTGTAATTCGTCCATTACAATGGAAAAGTTTTCACCTCAATTAGCCAGTACAGTTGAGTTGCTAGATCCCATGATAACACAACTGATGAATGGTTGTACTAAGGAAACAGCTCTAAGAATCAAAGAATCTATTCCAACCATCCCCAGTCATGTCTTACAGAAACTCCATCCATACATCATTGTACCGATAATGGGACAGGTTTCTAACGACACACAGAAGTACGTATGCGTGATGTTGATCTTATATTTCCCCGCCATATATATTTCAAGGCAATCATAACTTTTTCTTTTCAGTGAAGAATTAAAAACAATTCTCTTGGAAAGTGTGAATTTGGTGCTGATCCAAATACATATTTCAAATGTTTCTGCCATCAAAGAAATTTTGAAACAGTTGATGATTGTGATATTTGACAAAGATTCTCCAAATATGAGTAATAACCTTGAAAGCCTTGTGCCCTAGTTTTAAATTTTGAGAATGTGTTCCTGTTGTATCAAAATCCTAATCCCCATATTAAATCTTTCAGTTAAAAGTAGTTCATCGGAAGAGTTGAAACTTAGTGTAATGAACTGCGCATTTGAAATCATAAAAAATATGCCATTTGATGTTCAAGATAGTTATTATGTGAAAGATAATATTCCTGAAATATGTCAAATTACCTATACCTGTCTTGGACTGGCTGTATATGAGCGCTACAGATCTCTAAGGTGAGTCCCATACATGTTTGCAAGTACCTAAATAACATTTTCAAAATTTACCTGGTGTCATTTATTCTTATAATTCCTTCAGGGTTCGCTCTTTGGAAGTAATTTTAGCATTGATGCAAGTGCCCCTGCAAGGACCCGATAAAAGGTCTCCATGGGAACGTGAAGTGGTTGCAGATATATTCCAATTTATTTTGCCTGGTGCGTGTTCAAAATTGATGTCCATTGTTTCTGGAGACATAACCCAAGGAAAAAAGCTTTTATCAGTAAGTATTGGCTATACAGAAAGTAAAATCTGTTTCCAGAACTAACAGTTGTGCTTCAATTTGCAGACAGCTTTATTTACTCTCAGCTCTATGATTGCTCTTGTTATGGAAGATTACATCACAACTGATGTAGAAGATGCCTCAAAAATGATAGCAGCCCTTCAGAAGATGTCTGAGAAGACTTCTCAAGAAGTTAGCTCAAAGCCTATTCAGGTACACATACTCCCTGTTGTTGTAAAACAGAAATGCCTAAGCAATGTATATTTTTTTGGAGCTACATAGACTTCAGAGCCATTTATCTATTTCAGGAACCCACTTCTAGGATTGCTGCTAGTGCCAAAAGATTAATTGAGTCATCTAAAGGCCGCACCACAGAATGGAGAAAGAAAATGGCCTCAAACCTTATTCCTTACCTCTCCAAAATTGGGGAACGGCATGAGCATTCTGATACAAAAGTTTGCAAGGTCATATCATATTCCTGTTTTCTCATTTTATCTCGCTGTCCAGTCTCATTAAAAGAAGGCCTTGCCCCTGTGTTGGATGCTTTAGTTGCTCTGTCTGTTCATGAAAATGTTGAAGTTAGAGAAGAAAGCCTCTCATCTATAAAACTGCTAACTGATATATTCGCAGATCAAAACAGCTATGACTTTATACAATTGGCTGAAGAAAATTTTTATATGCTACTGACAAGACTCCCTCGTTTAGTTCAAGAGGAAGGTTTGTACTTGAAAAAAATATTTCAACTCCATGGGAATATTTTAAAATACTTTAATTAAATGGTTATAAATATTTACAGGAAGTACTCGAGGGGCCTCATCAATAACACTCCTGTCTGGTTACGTGCAGTTATTGCGTCACTCAATGAGAAATGTTTTAAGTAGTTCAGCTCACTTGCAACGTCTCACACTATCCTTGCTTCATGTGGTCACCCTTGATTGTTCTGGTGTGAACGTGAGCAATGAACACACAATGAGAGAATTAATTCCTGAAAGATGTGATAACCTGCATGTTCCATGGACCCGTTTACGATACAACATTGACACAGCTGTTCTTTCTAATGTTCAACAACTGTGTGAAATTGTTACTGATAATTCTATGGGTGTCTTTGATCTTCTTGGGTCACAACTTGTTGACACTTTCCACTCAGTGCTTCATTTCAAAAAGGAATCAATTCTTTTACTCAACATTCTGTTACTCTCAGCATCAAAATCAAAAAATGAAAGTGCTCAAGAGCTGGCTGCATCATTGCTTGAGGTCTATATGAACCCAGATGTTTGGCCTGTCAAAGGAAATTCTAGCTCCATCTCCACAGTGTCAATAATTCAGCAAAACATTGCAATTGTAAGTACTCTTCTTGTGTGCATAGAGAATTGTGTAAAATGATGAATAGTTTCTTATTGTAATCCTCTTCTATATTTTCTAATTTCCTCAGGAGTGTTTGTTGACTGAGGGTATTAGTTGCTGCATGTATGTAATGGGGGAAGATAAAGCACAAACACATCTACTGCGTATTCTGTACCCTCTAGTGGAAAAAGCAGGATCTGCTAATAGCTGCATTGCTCTTTCGGGCCGACGAGCATTGACACGAGTCGCCCATATATGTGGATACAATTCTGACATCATAGCATTGATTTCTAAAAATATGGATTATTTGTCTCATTCTATGAGTGTTCGTCTCAAGCATGTGAATGAGCAGATGGGTGTTTTCAGTGCATTGAGTCTTATTCTGCTCCATTCTTCACCAGAAATTGCTGTAGGGTTGCACAATATTGTTGTGAATGTATGTGGTTTTCTCATAATTTTCAATCAATCAATCAATCATAAACTCGTTAATTTTAAGGGATATTTAATGTATTTGTATCTGTATTTAGGTGTTGCAGTTGAGTGGTGATAAAATGCATTGTCATAATAATGAGGCACATCTACGTGTTTTCCTTACATTTGCTCATGGTGTCCAGCAATGGCTCCAACCGAGTAATTATGCTCAAAATCCAATAAGAGAAGTTTTGGATGAGAACTTCACTGGGAATTCGTCCTTAATTATAGATTTAGGCTCAAAGCAAAGTAAATGGACTGCTGTTAAAAAACTTAAAGAATATCAGCAAAATTTAAAATTTGTTTCCTGTGAAGATTCGGATGAAGAAACTGAAACACTCAGAAATCCAGGTGAAGAATTGCCTTCAAAGATGCAACCTCATGTGTTAGCAAATGACAAAGGAGGTATGTGTTTGGAATTACAAGATTGAGTAATGATTAATCTGCTAATTTTCTTGATCTCTGATCTCATTTCATCTGCTTCAATCCTTAGATATTCCTTTTGACACCAATGAAGAGAAGAAGGAAAAAATTCCGGAACTTGCCGATCTTTTAGTTTTAGTTCTAAAACGATGTCTTCATTTCATTCCTAGTCACATTGTTGAACACCAATTTTTAGCCATGAGAACTTTAGAAGTGGGTTTAAAGGCCTTGGAACCATACACAGATACTCTTTTACCTATTGTACATCTCATATGGGCTCCTTTAGTGGGAAGATTCAATGCAAATCAGCCCCCACTGATAATTCGTACAGCATTTCAACTTTTACAAACAATGGCAAAAACAGCAAAAGACTTTCTTATGGCTCGTACTTTAAGGTTTGTCTCTTCAATGCAGGTTTCTTCTATTTTTAGATTAATTAAATTTTCAATTCCTTCTTTTCATTCTTGTTTTTGTTTTCAGGGAAATATTTCCTCAAATAGCTAAATATTTAAAAAGTAGTGCTAATGAGAGCTACTTGAAAGATAGTGCATCAGCTTATCGGTTTTCACAAAAATATAAGACTCAATTATCACTGTTGTCAGGACTAGGTTCTTTAAGTTGCCATCTACAAGTAAGAGGACAGGATTTTTATTGTTTGCTTAGCGTTTCGTTGTTGTACCTGAGCTGCTTTCAGCCTCCTCCCTTACAGGTGAGTTTTTTTTGTGATGTGTATTACATTGACATGGTGTTCTCCTGCTATTACCCTCTTCTTCACTCTACAATTCCACAGGCCGCTTCTGTCTCACTTATACAGTCCCTGCAGAGTTTAGATGAAGACGCAGTATGGTGGGGTCTTGTTACATGGTGGACACCATTTCACCTTGCAGAACCTCTTAAGGTGGGACTTATCAAAATCATTCAATATTCTGTATAGTGATTAGGTACTCACCCTATAATTGTGTATCCTGCCTGTCCACAGCTGCCGTATCCATCAACACACCAAGACTGTGAAGAAAATGTGCACATTCTGTTGGGCTTACCAGTGATTAAAAAGGACTTGAAAGAAATACAACCTTAACTCTCAAAGGCTTTTCATAGCTGTGAATATTTTATTTTGTTTTCAATTTTTTAAAACCTTGACAGTCCTTTACGAAGACCGTGAGAATTTCATTATTAATTCAGCATGTGTTGTTAATGGAAACATGTCAACAGGTATTACAGATTTAAATTTAAAGGGAGGAGCCTTACATTTCTTACCCTCTGGTCTGATAATCGCTAACACGTTTCGAATGACCCATTCGTGATTAGGTTCACATGCCACATAAATTACTGTTCGTATTTGCGGGGTACTTCTTAGAGCTCTTAAAACAGATGTCTCTGTTAGGGAAACACAACATATCATTATGTTTTGTTTACAAAACAATGTAAAAAGATGTTTATGAAAGTTATTGAAGTAACTTACCAACTCCGCATCTACCAGGATTTAAAATTGCCACGACATCTGAAGATGGTTGAAGCCATTTCAAGGCACTTTTAAGTTTCTAAATAGAAATTGGCAGAGTACCATATTTATTTCATTGCAAAACCTATTAATGTTATTGAAATCTGAAAACCTAGATGTGTACTTACTGATTCTATTGTTCCAGCAATGAAGTTTGCTGAATGTATGTTATTGAGACCAGCATTTGATTTTGCATCTTGTATTGCCTCTTCACACATATCAATGCCCACTGTTCCACGGACAAATGGTGTAGCAAGAATCGATATAGTTCCTTTAAATTGATTTGAAGGAAAGGAATGAAAAGTTGCATGGTCTGTAATGTATCTTGTTCAAGAAGGAAAACAAATTCTTACCTATTCCACAACCTAGATCAAGGACGGACGTTTCTGGAGACAATTTAGCAGCAGTGAAAATCTTGTCATACATTATTTCAGCCATTTTTATGTTACATTGGACAAATGATGCTGGAGAAAGAGCAAACACACATCCACTAATTTTTTCCATGAGATACTTTTCTCCAAACAACAGTTGATAAGGGGCTAGCCTCCCAGAAGCATTGGTATAAGGGCTGGATAAAAAATAACCACTGAGAAATTCATAGACAGTCAATCAAAATTGGAATCAATAAAAGAATTCCATAACATTATACCTTGACTGAAAATAAAGAGAAGAGAGTTTACAAATGGAACCAGGACCATTTGTAAAATACTCCGTAATATTTTTACACTCATCTTCTATTTCTACTTGTGTAAGCTGTTGAGGATGTATCTTAATTAAAGCCATAACATCTCCATCTTGATTAGAACGAACTTGGACTTGTGTCCAGTTTCCCCCTTCCGAAAAGTTATGGCAAGCAGGAAGATCTGATAATCTTATGTAATCCTGGAAGGCCTACAAATAAATTTAGGATTACAAGTTTGAATCATCTTATGGTTGAATGAATAACACAGGCAGGTTTGGGTATTACCTTGGCAAATTTTACGTGTTGAGGAGCAGCTATACCTTGAACTGGTGGAACACAAACATACTGCCCACTTGTGTTACCCGCAATCCAACCTACCGTTTTCGGGTTGCCATCAACTCCAGTTCTAACCATATAAGTTTCTTTATTTCTATATTCATGAATAATTGGCTGGAAAGAAGCGGTCGTTTCACTAACTCTACAAAATCTAAATTAGTCAAAAAGTCAATAAAGCCCCTACTCACTGACGGACAGATGTTTTCAACACGAGGTCTAGAGGGTAGTGATGGCCGATGCTTGGCTTTTGCATTATTTTTCAGGTGGCCATCCAAAATTGAGTAGTACTGCGAGATAACATATGAAATCCAATCATTTTTCAACTCGAGCTGCTCACTGTACGGGACATTCCATAATGGGTAAACTGCATTTTTGATGGCTTCACCCTGATTTTCAGCACTTATGTCTTCAATTTTATTAGTTTTCCTTTGAAGGGGCTGAATCCTCTGAAAATTTAAGTTTGAGGCACAATTTACAACATGCTGGAGGAGGTTATAGTGCCCATATGATAATGCCAATCCGCTTACAACTATTTTATATGCATAGTAGCGTTTTATTTGGAGCAGTGTTTCATGACGCAAAAGTTGCTTTGAAACACGCTGGAACATAGTGAATGTTTTGAATTCGAAGACTCTTCAATTGAAATCATAAAACTTGTATTTTTTAATGCGAACGTGACATTGTTTACGTCTGCCGTCTGCTTGGAGTATCCGCACTGCAAGTGCCCCCCCCCCCTCCCTCTCTTTCTCTCTATACGGACGTGCTTCCACTTTTATTTTGCTGACTGTGGCCGCCGGCTTTGTGGCCACATTTCTGTGGACATTAACAGGGACATATTGGTTGGAGCTGTGTGTACATTAATCTCCGGAACTGCCATATGTTTCGGGGTGTGAGCCACATCGGAGATAAGCTTCACCTATGCCAAAGCCTCATCATTGGCTCAGTTGATAGAGCGCGCGCCCGGGACGCGGTTGGTTGTCGGTTCGAATACTGA